GTATAGTGCCCTGAATAAAGAACACAAGGAGTTTTAGCCAGTGTGGTAATCACAACTGATTCCTGTCTCGACAGACTTACGAGGACCAACACAGCAGTGAAGAGGAGGAGGAGGAGGAGGAAGAAGAAAGTGAAGATGGAGAAGAAGATGATATCACTAGTGCAGAGTCTGAAAGCAGTGAGGAGGAAGAGGGAGAGCAGGAGGAGGACCAACAGAATGTTAATAGACAGCAACAGCTGGAATGGGATGACTCTACCCTCACTTATTGATTCTAGCTGTTCCCTTTGTCTTTCTGTTCCCGCTCTAGAAGACTCCACTGTAACACACTCCATTGCTCCCAAGGATTCATGGTGTTTGAAACAAAAAAATTCATTCTGGCCAGTAGATTGAACCCCCACCATCCTGTGTTTGTGTTCTGTCAGCTAGTCCCTGATGTCCCTAGGGTTGTAGTTAGCACCTCTCCTTCAGCCATGCCTCAGTGACTGGATTTTTTTTACGCTCTGTGAGGAACCACCTTGCACTTTTTTCTTCATGTCATCTCAGCTAAGTGACTCTACAGCTCTGTAGCCATTGCACATGAATTTCTGAACTGTCTTTTTTTGCTCAGTGAAACAAACTTGGCTTTGTTCCTTTTTCTCTTTCTAAAAAAGATGCAAAGATTGCTTGTTGACAAAGGGTAAAGCTGCTCATTTCAGCCTGTTGGTTTCTTTTAATTTCTTTTTTTTTTTTTCCCCAACTTAGTGCATGTGTAAAGTGGCAGAATGAGGTTAATATGTAGAAGATTAACAAGACTTTTTAATATTTTGTAAATATATTGGAATTATGTAATTATGTCATTTGTGGTAGTGAAAACAGGGATTGGGGTTTAAAAACATGCTAAAGTGAAAAATCATGCAGCATGAACTATTACAAGTCTCATCCTACTGCAGCAGGAGCACGGGCACAGTTCTTAGTGTAGATGTTCAGTAACTCAGTGTCATTGGCCTTGACTGCGATGTGTGCTCATGCCCCACTCTCCTTCCACTTCCTTCCTTGAATCTCCTGGATTTGCAGAGGGAACAGAGAAGCTTGTGAGACATTGTAAAGGCTTTAGGAACCCATGCAGAGGTTCAGCTGCCCTGTGCAATACAGCTGTTTGGGTTTCATTTTGAGTTCTTTTCTTTTCTCCAATTAAGTCTTGGCATAAGGGCTTTTAAGTTATTGGGAAAAAAACACTACATGGGTGGTGGGCAGATGCCAGGGCTGTGGCTCTGGGGTGTTGCCACAGCTCGTGGTAGCTGCAAGGAGGCTGTGGCTGCCTGTGGTGAGTGCTGGGCTGTTCATACTGCTGACAGGGTGGATTGTGCTAGGTGGTGATGGATTGTAACTGCAGCTGGAAAGCCTGAGACCTGTGTACCTGTGCACCTTGGCTACCAGGCTGCATAGATAGGGATTTGGGGGGGTTTGGGTTGTTCATTTTTTTTTCTAATTTGGCAGTGGGAGGGTTTGGGGTGTAGCTGGTGATAGCACTTGAACACTCCTGCTCAGCCCCTTGTACAGTCCCTGGGCCTGTCAGTGAATATTAAGCCTTTGTTTACACTTAGTAATTGTGTTTTCCTGCTGGTGAAAAACTGTAGCATAAATTATCCAACCAGAAAACCTTAGGAATTGTGTTGCTACTGTTCCAAGTGGAGCTGATTGGGGTTGTTCCTGAGGACAGTTCCCACTTGGGGTGGCAGAGGTTGATAGCTGGAAGGTACGAGGCTGAGTGCTGGCCCAGGGTGGGCAGTGCTGGTTTTTCTGCTGGGCAGGGCTTGGGGAACTTCTTTTGCTCTTAATGCAGAGTCTTGACTAACGAATTTCTGCTTGATTTCTCTGTTTGGAGGTGGATTAAAGAGTAACTTGTTTTGCTTGTAACAGGAGCCTGGGACTGCATTGCCTCCTCAGCACGGTAAGCCAAGCTCCAGTGTTCACTCTGTAGCTGTGGGTAGGGACACAGGACACAGCAGGGCCAGGGGCACTGGGGAAGCTGCCAGAGGAGTGACAAGCAGCCAAAGGGTGGGCACAAAGGGTCCTGATGGCTGGAGAGAGGTAAAAGCTAAGGATTGATTTGTACGGTTTGATTTCTGAGCAGACCCATCCTCAGCTGGGGTGTGTGTGGACCAGGATCTGTGGTGGGGTTGAGCTGAGGGAACTTTGACTGTGGAGTGCCTTTACAATGGGAGATGGACCTGGCAGCAGGGAAGAGAACCCACACCAGAGCTTACTGTTTTTTTTAGGGTTGTTTTGTTGGTTTTGTTTTTGTTTTTTTTTTAATGTAAAATTTTAGATTTCTAAAATGGGAAAATGGTTTTGACTACTTAAGTGGTAATTAACTGCTAGTTTTAAGTAAACTGGGAAACTTTTAACTTATGTCTGACAGTTGTCCTGTGTTAATGTGTAGAAGACTTATCCTTCCATATACTGTTGCTGTAGCTGCTGTATTTTAGACCAAAACTGATCATGACTTGATGGTAATACTGAGGGTTGTAATGTCCTGATGCAGTTTGTAGCCACTGTGGGTATAACTTTTCAGATGTGTATATTGGTAACAGGTCAGTTTGGAAAGTCTATAAGCTACAATAAATTTCTGGTTCTAAAGGTTGTTTGCATTTATTTCTTCCTGAATGGAACAAAGTAGAATCAAGTTACATAAACTGTATGTAATTTGCTGGGGGAGTAGGAGGTGGTTTTTTTTTTCCCTTGATCTCAAGCACAGAATGACTTTGCAACAGCTGTGTACAATTTATCAATAGTTTTTATTTTTTACTTACAAAAAACATGTACCTAAAGCAACTGAAAAGTTAAACATGTAAACATTCTCTTCTTGCAGAACCACAGTTTGGCTTAAAAAAATACTTTTTTTTTTTCCCAAGGCAACAGAATAAGCACAATCAGTTTGTACAGAGATAACAAAAATAATGACAGAAACATCTCTAAATAAATAGAAATAGGTCTATCATTCTGAGCAGGTTTATAAAATGAGAAGCCACTTGTTTCTAGTGAAATGGACTATTTTTGGAAGTGATTTGAGTTTCAGTACAATTCAGCTGGCTGAAAAACCATCAGGTGAGCAGCTGCTTTGTGAGCTGGGGGAGGCAGAGCCATCAGAGATACAGCCAAGATGCTCTTCCAGGGGGGGACAAGGAAGAAGGTCCATGTGATGACTCAAAGAATTTTTACTTCTCGTAGGTAAGTTAAGTTTCTAGACTAAGTAACCTCTAAAACTGTGCCGGGTTGGGAAGCACCTTTGGAATTGCTCAGTTCTTGCAGCTGATGCTGCTACACCTCTGTTTTATTGCACTTCTCAAATCGAAGGACATGTGACAGGAGCCACTGCTGTCAAACTCAGTTAGGGCCTGAGGTTCCTGCTGGGTCTGTAAATCAGGTGCCTGGGAGTGAGGGGAGAGCAGGAGGTGCCACTGCCTTGCTGCAGAGTCCTGGGGTACCCTTTGTGGCCATGCAGGAGAATTGCTGCACAGGTACAGAACTGTAGTGTCTTCCCTTCCACAGGAACATACAAACTGATGGGGTGGTGGTTTCAGTGCACCTCAGCTGGCACTGGGGCCTCAGATTTCTGCATCCTTTGCTTTGTAAATTAGTTTGGTCAGGAAGGAAATAGCAGTATTTACTCTCCCAAATGGAGCAGAGGTGAGTCCTCCTCACTGCCTGCTGAGCCTGCAGAGAGCTCTGAATCCTGCAGTATTCCTTTCTAGTACCAAAACAACTGTTAGAACTCCAGTGTTGGGTTTCTGCTTTCCTTTTTGCATTCCCTGTTTAGGATTTCAGGAGGATCCCTGCCAACATGGCTGTATCCCAGATTGTGGCACATTTTCTATCTGTTCCTTAAAGCTTGGGGGAGGAACACTTGGGCTTCACCAATCTGGCTCTCAAACTTGAAGGAATTACAAAAGAGAACAGCAGAGTGGTGGAACCTTGTGAAAACACCATTCTCAAGGGTTTGCTGCACAACCCAAGGTGCTTACCAGGCACCCAGTCCTGCTTCTTACCTGGGAAGGAACATCCTGGGGGAAAAAAAATAAGTGATACTTATGGAATGGTGACACATGGAATCTGCCACCCCATAGAAATGTGCATTTTGTCCAAGCCCTTGTTATAATGGTGGTTTTTAATTGGATGTAAGAGATCCAAGATTATTCCTGCTCCTAATTTAAACTGTATCACTCAGCATCCTCCTAGCCAGGGAAGTTTGTGGCATAGAAAAGGTAAATTATCCTTACAATAATTAAAACAAGGTCTGGTGGGCAGTGTCACAGTCCTGCACTGTTAACTGCAAATATGGATCACTGGTTTAGGGCTTGGTTTGAAGCCTCAGAGCTCTCTCTGCTGTTCAGCAAAAGGAAAGTGAGTGACAGTAAGTCGTGGCACAGTGCAGAGCTCATCCAGCACAGGGGACAACACTCAGAGACTGGAGGAGGATTGAAATCCAACCTCCAGGAGCAGCAGCAGTTCTGCAGTGCTGGCTCCAGCTGCTGTTTTGTTTCCTCAGGTATTTTTGCACATTCATCCACTGCTGCTTTCCTGGCCTTACAGTCAAGTGCCCAATTACAGGAAGGTATGAACTCTGCTGTCAGTTCCAGCTAATTAATGAGGTCTGGAACAAGGAAAGTACAGCAAAAAACAATTCCTTGGTGCACTTTTTAAATTTTAAAGTACCAGAGTACCTGATTTTATAGCCTGAAAAAGAGCTGAAAGCCAGGAAAGTGCTGGATGTAAAAATACTGTCAAATCAAATTTAGCTCATGACAGGGAAGAGTTCTTAAAGCCTAAACAGGCCAGTTCACTCTCTTTGCTAAACTTGCTGGTTCTGTGGGAATTTTAAACCAGACTTGAAAGCTAAATCTATGAGAGTCTAAGTCCATCACTTGCCAACAGCTGTAGCTCTTGTCACTTGAGAAGCAGGTTCTGAAATTTCTCTATTTTTACCTACATGAGAAGAATATGGAAGAGAGTTTAAAAACAAGTTTACAGGGAGTAAAAGAAAATGGCTCAACCTAATTATAAAGGTGCACAAATAGAGGATTCAGCTCCAGGGGTGTCTTGACAATTAGACTATGCTATTCCTTATAAAAAGCAGGATTGGTGGCACCTCCATAGGGCCCTGATGGTGTGAAGAATGTGGAGAAATGGAAGGAAGGACCCAGGGAGCTGCCAGAGGAAGCAGGTACTGACCACAGGACTCCACATGACCCTGGTGGCACTGAGTGACAGCAGTGGCTCCTGCTCCCCTGTCCCTGTGCACCACCCAGAACTGCTCACCTGCTGAGGACATGAGCTGGAGACAAAAATATGACACGAGTAGAAATCCATGATTGATTACAGCACCTTGTGAGAGATGGGATGGATTCTGCCTGGGGAAGGCAGTGGGAATGGGAGAAAGCTGGAGGAGACACTGTCCTGATCTAGGTACCAGCACAGCTGAACTTCCCCAGACACAGCTTTGACACCAGAGCAGGAGTCATGTACCATGGCTGAAGGGAGGAAGAGTGCAGGAAGGAACAGGGAAGAAGGTTGTGAGAAGAAAGAGTTGAGATGCAACTTACTGTAAGTGTTTCAGTGCCAAACCCACTCATCTGGCACTGCCATCCCTGCCCAGGAAGGCAGCCTGGCCAAACAGCTCGGGCACAGACTGGTGCCATCTGTCCCAGCTGACACTGGAGTTACAGTGTTGGATCCCAGGGACTGTGTAGGTGTAGGCCAGTGCCCTGCACACATGTTGCAGGGAAACCAGGTGGCAAACCAGCTCTGATGTACCCCAACAGGAGGTACTGGGAGCAACCAACATTCCATGCCAAGTTTGAAAATGCAACCTTGCTTGTTTCAGATTTAAAACCAAAGTAAATGCAGGAATTGCTTGAGTCTGACCTAGAAAGCAAAGAGACTACCTGACCCAGTGGCCACTCCAAACCTGCTCTTGTGGCATCAGTTCTAGACAGCACTACAAGGTTCCAGCTCAGTTTCAGGACACTTTGACCTCTGGAGCAGCCAGAAAAGCAGGATGACAGAGGCTATTTTTATCCTGTCACAATGCAGTGTAAGACCATTTGTCCCAGACAGCCTCAGTGTGATTGAAGCTGACCCAC